CAGTCTCAATCTCCACCGTCGGATCACAAACCTCCAAAAGACTGCAACTTTGTACACTTTTTGTCCTTTTCTGTAGTTGTAACCGCATCACCTTCTATATATCATAAATCAAAACCATACATAATTCATTTCCCCTCTCTCCCTCCCCCCCCCCTCTCTCTCTCTCTCTCTCTCTCTCTCTCTACTTTCTCTCTCTTACGCATTTCTGTATCTATCTTTTTCATCAAGAAGAAGCTTAAAGAAAAAAAATGTGTGGAGGTTCAATAATTTCTGATGAACCCATAATCAAAAGAAGAGGCAAATTAACCACAGAGGAGTTTTGGGCTGAACTTGACACCATTTCTCACTTTTGGGGCTTCGATTTCTCAGACGATGCTGCCAAAAACCAGCCCGAACCCGATGCTCAAAAGCCCGGCCCGCACAACAAAGGTCAGTTTACTATGTATGGAGAGTATAATCCGTTATATTATGTTATTTTTATATGCAAAAATAAGGTCCTAATTATATATACAGAAGAAGGTGACTAGTAAGTAGAGATCTTTCACACACACCAAAAACAATTAAAGATTCAATTTTTATGTTATTTTTATGCAAAATTAAGGTCCTAACTATATGTATACAGAACAAGGTTACTAGTAAGTAGATATCCTTCACACAAAAGAAAAGAGAAAAAATCAATTAAAGATTCAATTTTTATGTTATTTATATGCAAAATTAAGGTCCTAACTATATATATATACAGAACAAGGTTACTAGCAAGTACAAAGTAGAGATCTTTTTCTCACATACAAAAAAAAAAAAAACAATTAAAGATTCAATTTTTATGTTATTTGTATGCAAACTTAAGGTCCTGACTATATATACAGAACAAGGTGACTAGTAAGTAGAGATCTTTCACACAAAAAATAAAAAACAAATCAATTAAAGATTCAATTTTTATGTTATTTGTATGCAAAATTAAGTTCCTAACTATATATACAGAAGAAGGTTACTAGTAAGTAGAGATCTTTCACACAAAAAAAATATAATAATTAATTAATTAAAGATTCAATTTTTATGGTTAAATAGTGAGTAAATCAAAATCTAGACCCCAAATAAAATATTTTTCGTCTTTTTTGGCAAATCTATATGAATTCCCATGTAGTGTGTGTGTGTGTGTGTGTGGAAGTTGAAACATGGTATGATATAATTGGTGTGTCAAAAGCAAATATAATTAAAAGAAAAAGGACTTGATGGAAAATGTAGGAAAAAAAGAAAAGGAAGAGAAGGGCAAAGAAAGGGGTAGAAAGAGTACATACAGAGGCATAAGGCAAAGGCCATGGGGAAAATGGGCTGCAGAAATTCGTGACCCGAAAAAGGGCGTTCGAGTCTGGCTCGGAACCTTCAATTCGGCTGAGCAAGCCGCTAGAGCCTACGACCAAGCCGCCAAGCGGATCCGCGGTGACAAGGCCAAGCTCAACTTTCCGGCCAACCATGAGCCGCCAACACCACCACAGCAGCCGCCTCCAAAGAAGATTCGTGTTGTCCCCGAGCCGCAATCCAAGCCGAGCCAAGTCGTAATGGATTGCGAGCGCCAAGGGGCCGAGCCGTGTTACTTGAAAGGATGTGAGCCTATCAAGGATGAGCTGTCGAGCTGGGAAAGTTTGTTAGGGTTAGAGGAGCCGAACCAAGTGATAATGGAGCCGAGCCAAGTGATAATGGAGCCGATCAAGGATGAGTTATCGAGCTGGGAGAGTTTCTTAGGGTTGGAGCCGGCTGTTAAGCCGAGCCCTTTTGGGGTATTGGATGAGACAATGGACTCCGTTGACTTCTGGATGATGCATGAATTTGCTGCAGCTCAGCAGAATAATCTATTTTTCTGAATAAATATTAATAATGATTGGAAAATAAATATTATACATATATGAGCGTGTATGAATATATATATATGCCTGTAATTTTGTGGTGTTGAAGGTTTGGACTTTAGTTATTGTATGCAATTTGGTTTTATGTTGTATGCAACTTATTTAATGTTTAAATTTTGGTGGTTTTCTTACATGGGATATTTTGGTGACTGCACTTCTTGATAAATGCAATGCTGGAGTTCCAACTTCCAATGTACTTACTACTATATTTTATTAAATTTAATTTT